TCATAGAAACGCCACTAAGGCTTTTCCTCAATAGGTTTTATTCGATGGGTGCAGCTAAGATCACCAAATTGCATCGCACAACCTTTAAATAAACCAGTGTTTCCCACTTAGTCTACCTTCTAGCAATATCAAAGCTTGTGAATGAAAAGGGCTTGTTCTCAGGCCCCTGGGGGAAGGTAAGTGCATGGAAGAGGGCTGGATTTCCCAACTCGCTGTTTACTAAAGAGTAAATCTACTCCATGTGGTGCACGGGAGTGTAATATTAAGGCGATCCACTTTCTGTGAGATAAACAAAGTTGCCGCTATTGTCTTCTGCAGGGTAACAGCTAAAATCAAATATTCTAGACTGGGTGGTGTGGGGTGACCCACCTGCCATTGTGCATGTAATACAACTCAGCTACACATTACCCTTCTCTGGCAAAAATTTCCTTCAGCAGCCGTGGGCCATTCCTTTCTTTCATCTTCTTGATTCAGCCTACCGTCACACACATCTCCTGACTTGGCAGAACTGACTTTTATTCCTCTTGGTGAGACTTTCATACTGTTCCTTAACCTAACACCTTCCTGATGTCTGGATTTCTGCTTCCCCTAAAGCCCAACCAGCACAGCCTTTGGGAACCGTTGGAACTGGCCACCTAATGAACCTTGGAGAAGCGTGATGTTGGAGAAGATTGATCTGTCACCGCGGCAACCCAGCTGCAAATTGACAGCTGATAATATCTTTGAAATATGAAGAGCTGGCCAATGTGTTAGAACCAGGCGATTCTTTCCTTGTCTTCCGGAAAGGCTGAGAAAAAAGAAGGATGGATGTAGGATGGGTGATAGATAGATAGAAAATGCAGAAAGATTAGATTAATTAGATTAGATTAGATTAGATAGATAGATAGATAGATAGATAGATAGATAGATAGATAGACAGAGAGAGAGAGAGAGAGAGAAAGAGAGAGAGAAAGAAAGAAAGAAAGAAAAGAAAGAAAGAAAGAAAGAAAGAAAGAAAGAAAGAAAGAAAGAAA